AAAAAAAAAAAAAAAGAGACTCTGTCTCCAAAAATAAATAAATAAATAAAATGGAAAGTTGAGTCAATCACTGAGTCTTCCTTTAGCCCCCCCACCCCAAGGCTTCTTTTTCTTTTTCTCTCTCATTTTTTCTTTTTTTTGAGACAAAAATCTCACTATGTCACTCTCGGTAGAGTGCTGTGGGGTCACAGCTTGAAGCAACCTCAAATTCTTGGGCTTAAGTGATTCTCTTGCCTCAGCCTCCCAAGTAGCTAGGACTACAGGTGCTCCCCACAAGGCCTGGCTATTTTTTTTTTTTTTTTTGAGACAGAGCCTCAAGCTGTCACCCTGGGTAGAGTGCCATGGCATCATAGCTCACAGCAACCTCCAACTTTTGGGCTCAAGTTTGGCGGGCCTGGGCTGGATTCAAACCTTCCAGCTCAGGTGTACGTGGCTGGTGCCCTAACCGCTGAGCTATAGCTGCTGAGCCATTTTTTTTTTTTTTTTGAAACAGAGTCTTGCTATATTGCCCAGGCTAGAGTGTTGTGTGACATCAGCCTAGCTCATAGCAACCTCAAACTCCTGAGCGAAAGCAATCCTCCCACCTCGGCTGCCCAGAGTGCTGGGATTAATGCTGTGAGCCATTAATGCTTGGCCTACCTCCCTGATGCTTCTCACTGCTTAAGCTAACTTCTATTTGAGACCAGGATTCCCCAAGAGTCAGAGATGAGAGGCTGAGTTACCTGAGCAGGAACATATTCATCTTGGGAAAATCTACCAGGGGAAAATACAAGGCTGCATGATGTCAGGAGGTTGGTAGGATAGCTGACTACTAGGCTACAATAGAATTGACAGGAACACTAAGTTTGTATCACTAGGAAGGATTTTTAGCAATTAAAGCAACCTGGAATCCTGTATCAAATGTAAGAAGAGGAAATGTATTAGGAAAAAATGGAAGACCTATATTTGAGTTCAGAAATTCAAAGGTGCCTTCTGGGTTAATAGTGATCACGTGAAAACACCCCTAAGGGCTAGGTGAGGTGGCTCAAGCCTATAATCCTAGCACTCTGAGAGGCTTAAGGAGGTGGATTGTTTGAGCTCAGGAGTTTGAGACTAGCCTGAGCAAGAATGAGACTTCTACTAAAAATAAAAATAGAAAAACTAGCCGGTTTTATGGCAGATGCTTGTAGTCCCAGCTACTCAGGAAGCTGAGGCAGGAGGATCACTTGAGAATAATAGTTTAAGGCTCGACACCTGTGGCTCAAGCGGCTAAGGCGCCAGACACATACATCTAAGGTGGCAGGTTCGAATCCAGCCCGGGCCCACCAAAACAACAATGACGGCTGCAACCAAAAAATAGCTGGGCACTGTGGCAGGCGCCTGTGGTCCCAGCTACTTGGGAGGCTGAGGCAGGAGACTCGCTTGAGCCCAGGAGTTGGGAGGTTGCTGTGAGCTGTGATGCCACAGCACTCTACCCAGGGGGCTCTGTCTCAAAAAAAAAAAAAAAGAGAGAGAGAGAGAGAGGGAATAATAGTTTAAGATTGAGGGTGGAGCCTGTGGCTCAGTAGGTAGGGTGCCAGCCCCATATACCAAGGGTGGTGGGTTCAAACCCAGCCCTGGCTAAACTGCAACAAAAAAATAGCCAGGTGTTGTGGTGGGCACCTGTAGTCCCAGCTACTCAGGAGGCTGAGGCAAGAGAATCGCCTAAGCCCCGGAGTTGGAGGTTGCTGTGAGCTGTGACAGCACAGCATTCTACAGAGGACAATAAAGTCTGTCACTTAAAAAAAAAAAAAAGATGGGTGGTGCCTGTGGCTCAAAGGAGTAAGGCACCAGCCCCATATGCTGAAGGTGGCAGGTTCAAACCCAGCCCTGACCAAAAACTGGAAAAAAAAAAAAGTTTAAGGTTGCTGTGACTTAGGCTGAGGTCACAGCACTCTAGCCCAGGGCAACAGAGTGAGTCTCCATCTCAAAAAACAATAAAAAACCTCCCTATGGATTTTAGGTGACAGCAAACTAAGAATGAAAGGAAAGTATGGGGTGGTGCCTGTAGCTCAAGGGAGTAAGGTGCCAGCCCCATATGCTGGAGGTGGCGGGTTCAAACCCAGCCCTGGCCCAAAACTGCAAAAATAAAAAATAAAAAATAAAAGAAAGGCAAGTATGGAGACTGCCATGAGAGCTAATGTGGCCTCAGTTTGTATGAAGAAAAGGACGGTACCCTTGGACTAGGGCCTTCCCATCAGCAAGATGAAGAGAAATGCTATACCCTCAACCAGTCCTTTTCCACTGTCAAAGAGAAACATTTTTTGCCTAGAGGGAAGAAGCCAGGACTATTACGGGAACAAGTCCATTTAGCAAAGCAGAGACTAGGGGAGTGAGGTGTTATGGTGGAAGAAATTGAGAACTGTTGTCAAATATCTGAATTTGTCCTAGGGAATTCTAGAGTTCAAAGTCAGGGCAGAAGCATACTATAAAGAACTTTCTAAAAAGTAGGACCTTTAGAAACTGAAACAGGGGCAGGGCGTGGTGGCTCACGCCTATAATTCTAGCACTCTGGGAGGCCAAGGTGGGTGGATTACCTGAGCTCCCATGTTCAAGACCAGTTTGAGCAAGAACAAGACCCCATCTCTAGAAATAGCCAGGCACTGTAGTAGGTGCCTATAGTCCTAGCTACTCAGGAGGCTGAGATAAGAGAATGGCTTGACCCTAAGAGACACCACCATACTCTAATAAGGGCAACAAAGTAAGACTCTGTCTCAAGAAAAAAAAGAAAGAAAGAAAGGAAGGAAGGAAGGAAGGAAGGAAGGAAGGAAGAGACTGCTTCACATAAAGAACTGAGTGTTTGGGCTCGGCCGGCTAAGGCGCCAGCCATGTACACCTAAGGTGGCGGGTTCGAATCCCCAGCCCGGACCCGCCAAACAACAATGACGGCTGCAACCAAAAAATAGCCAGGCGTTGTGGCGGGCGCCTGTGGTCCCAGCTACTTGGGAGGCGGAGGCAGGAGACTCGCTTGAGCCCAGGAGTTGGAGGTTGCTGTGAGCTGTAATGCCACGGCACTCTGCCCAGGGGGACAGCTTGAGGCTCTGTCTCAAAAAAGAAAAGAACTGAGTGTTTGGTCACCGGAGGCATTCAGCTAGAGGCCAACAGAACTACCTGAGGAAGAGTGCCACGGAAGAGCGGCTGTCGTGGTGCACTGATCTAGGTGACACCTGCAGCCTTCCAGCTGACAGTGGTGCATGTCTCTGAAATCAGCTTCCTGTGGAAAGACACAGAGCTGACCCCCATTACCACGTGGGGTTAAGTGCCTGAGAACAAGTGGAACATCTCTCCAGGGCACACATTTGGAGCAACGTAGGATCCAGAAAAGCCCTGGCCCTGGCTCTCCAGACATTCAGATGCCCCAAGTGCTCTGATGCTAACACCTATCCTGTTCCCCACCCCCAGCCCCAACTCACCGGGAGATGGCAAAGAGACCAGTGAGCAGAGGGAGCAGCTTGAGGGTATCCTGGGGCAGGTAGGTGGAAAGCACGGCCAGGTTGAAGAAGTAGAGAATGAAGAGCTGGACTGACTGTGCCACGTACTGTCGGTGGATCTCCACCTCCCGCCGTGGCTCTCCAAAGGGCCGAAGGGCAGAGAAGCATAACAGGCTCAGCCCATACACCAGGAGCCCTGTGTAGATTTGGGGAGAGGGATACATCGGGTCAGAACAGGCAGGAGAATGCAAGAGGATATAAGGAGGGGCCGGGTTTGTGTTGAGTGATGCACAAGCATGGGCTGTCTACACTGGGCAGAGTGGTCCTGGGAGGAGATGGGTGTATAGAACAGTAGGGTGCAGGGTGCCCTGAAGGGAAGGAAAGCCCTCCTACCTCCCAAATCCACTTCCCAGATGCTCCCTTTCTTCTCATGGGACCCAGGCTCACCCAAGACGATGGGGAAAGTAGCAAAGACTCCACAGCGCAGCGTGTAGACCAGGCGGGAGCTCATGGTAGGCAGCCGTGGGGCATCAAAGGGCAGGAATGCATAGGCCCCATACAGCAGGCAGGGGAAGAGGACGAGCGCAGCTCCCACAGAGGCCACGGCCCTCAGCCCCTCACGGCCTCCACAGCTCCCGCAGCCTTTGCAGGAATGGCCAGGTGGCCTCACCACTGCCTCAGCCCACTTGCACTCAGGGGGCTCAGGGTGGGTGGCCCGGGTGGGCAGGAAGGTCCGGCGTTCGCCCTCACTTGCCTCACAGCGCACGATGAGATCTTCTTGGGGCCGCCGTTCAATGCACTGAAGGTCAATGGGCACGAAGGCTCGGGCTGCCTTTTCAGGCAGGAGGTTGACATCATCTTCAGGCAGCTCCTCTAGCTTTGCAGGGGGTTCTGACTCAAGGGGCTCTGGCTCAATGTCCCGCCAGCCAGGGGGATCTGGGAATGGAGCACTGGGCTGGGGGCCAGTCCCCCAGGGCAAGGTGGCAGCCTCACTTACTGTGCTGTCTAGACCATCCTCAGCCCCCTCGGTGGCTGTGGGAGACCCCGCTGAAGACTCCATTCTGAGAGACTCAGCTCCAGGGGATGCGCCCCCACCTTCCCCTTCTGGCTGCCGCCCATTGGGGATCAAGGCCTGGGGTGAGCTCTTCTCCAGGGCCTCAGAACCCTTCACTTCCAGCAGAGCCAGGCTCTCAGGTTCTGTCATTCTAGGGCCTCAGTTTCGGAGTCTACCACAAGGTCATGTCATCCTGGAGAGAAGGGAGGAAGCTGCTAGAGACCCCTGTCTTCTGGCCCTGAGGATGGGTTAACAGACCTGAAACTTTCTAGAGCAACTGATCTCATGGGTTTTAGCTCCTTCTGGAATCTTAGAGAGAACAAGACAGAGGAAGGTGTTGAAACAGAGGGAGGTGGGAGGGAAGCGAGCAGTGAAATAGAGGCCCTTTCGACATCAAATGCTGTCCAAAGGAGGTGAGTCAGGGGGCACAGGTCTTGGTAGCTGTGGCCTTAGTCAGTCTCCACCCACACATTTTACCCCCTCCACCAAAACCCCTGGAGTCATGGCCACCCTAATGCAGGAACGGGAAGGACAAGAGGTATCTAGAACATTGTCAAAAGTTTCTTTCCCACAAAAGATCTTCCTGTGGACAGAGAAGCTGTTCCACCATCCCATTTCCCATTCTCTCTTCAGATCCCCAACTAGAACACTCCTGGCAACTAATATCAGTGATCTGCCAGCAAATCTGTCCCATGGAGCTGGCAGTTGCAGTGTACCTTGTCCTTTGATCCGTACTTGGTCACTGTCCAAACTCCTCACCAGCCCACCTCATCTATCACCGCAGGGCCTGGGGCTGTTCCTTCTGACTTTTAGGTCTAATCATGGCTGTTTCCCATGCCTTCTCTCCTGATTTTCTCCCCTCCCTGCTGCCCTCCATCTCATTGTTTCTGGATGGGGCTGATTTCCCCTTGTCTCCTCAAAGGTCCCCCTACCCTTGCCATTTGGAACCATGACACCCTCTTACTTTTCATCTGGAGAGAGGTGAAGGGTCTCCAGTGTCCAGGAAGCAGCTACCCAGCTCACTGCTAACTCTGCAAGTATTTCTGTCTGTCCCCTCCCTTTACTTGTGTCTCCAAACCTGTTTGACCAGAGCAGGTGGGGCCCAGATTAAAGGGGCAGGCCCTGCCTTGCTGAATCTGCCGACAGAAAAAACACTTAGTGAAGGACATCATTCTTTTTCCCCCTTTTCTCTTTCTTTCTTTCTTTTTTAAAAGACAGAGTCTCACTTTATCACCCTCGGTAGAGTGCTGTGGTGTCACAGCTCACAGCAACCTCCAACTCCTGGGCTTAGGCACTTCTCTTGCTTTAGCCTCCTGAGTAGCTGTGACTACAGGTGCTCACCACAATGCCCAGCTATTTTTTTGTCGCAGTTTGGCCAGGCTGGGTTCAAACCTGCCACCCTTGGTATATGGGGTCAGCATCCTACCCATTGAACCACAGGCGCTGCCTGCCCCTCTTTTTACTTTTCATATACCCTCTTGCCAAATAAATCTTTTTTGAAAGTGGGGTTGGCTCAGCGCCTGTGGCTCAGTGGCTTAGGCGCCAGCCACATACACCTTAGCTGGAGGGTTTGAATCCAGCCCAGGCCCGCCAAACAACAATGATGGCTACAATCAAAGAATAGCCGGGCATTGTGGCGGGTTCCTGTAGTCCCAGCTACTTGGGAAGTGGAGGCAGGAGAATCGCTTGAGCCCAGGAGTTGGAGGTTGCTGTGAGCTGTGATGCCATGGCACTCTACCCAGGGCGACAGCTTGAGGCTCTGTCTCAAAAAAAAGAAAGAAAGAAAGAAAGTGGGGGTGCAGTTAGGCATAAATGTTAAGTTCATATTCTAGGCACCTGAAATTCATAAGAGCTCCCAGCTCAAGAAAGCAGAGAGGGAATAGGTCAGGAGACCCAGAAAAGAGATAAACTTTGTATACTTATTCACTCAGTAAACATTTATTGAACTCCAGTTATTAGGCACTATGCTAAACACAGGCACAGAAAGAACAAGATGACAGCCAAGGTCTCTGCCTCAAGAAGTTTATACTCTATGGGGGTAACATAATAAAGAAGCTGAGCAATTAAATCACTTAGTTTCAGCAAGGAAGACCTCTTTGATAAGATATTTGAAGGGAAATCAGGACTATGAGTGTTTTAGGAAAGAAACAGCAAGTGAAGGACCAACAGGTGGGAAAGATTTAAGCTGTTTCAGGGACAGAAAGAAGGTGGATGGCTGGAGTCTGGTGCATAGTGGGAGAAGGGGAATTTATGTTCTCATTACAACGTGTACAAAGGCACAAAAACCCCTTGTTTTTTAGCTTAGGTTTAGGTTAAAAGAGCAATAGGAATCCAAATTAAATAGGATGTGATCTTTCCAATGTGAGGATCAAGGGTCAGAAAGGTGAGGGAGTGGCTTCCCATTCCTGAGACCTTCTCCCTAAAGTCATTTGAACTTTGTGAAGGCAGGGACAGTGTCTAGCTTGATCATTTTAGTGTCCCCAGAATCCAGCACTATGACTAGAAGACAGCAGGACTCCAGTAAGTGTTTGCTGGGCTGGCAAGAAATGGGCATATCAGCTGGAAATCTTTGGGAGGAGCTGGAGAGCAGAGGCGCTTCTACAAATCGTGTCTTCCAAGGCCTTTGTCCTACGTGATGCTTCAATCTTTCCAAGAGAACTTTCACATGCATTTTTCTGGTTTGTTTAAATGACAAGGAAAAAGGGAGAATTATAGTCATTCTAACCAGTAAGCTCAAAGAGGCTTGTCTAAAATGGGGAGGCGGTGAAGGAGCGGGCAGAATGGACCAGATACCACTACAGCCCAAAGCAATGTCACAGTCCTCGCTGTGCATCCACGTGTCCTGATACACTTAGCTTCCGCCGCCTCACTGGGTCCACTGTCAGTTTTTTGACAGTTTTGCCAATAAAGTTTTGCGCAAGGGCTTGGAGAAGCCGGAAAAGAGGCCAATCAGCCCAGAGTTAGTTCTGGCAACTTCCCGGGAGGGAAAACTAATTTCGCGAGATTTGGCAGCAGCAAGCCACTGGCCTGCAACTGTGCGGCCGCTATCGCGAGACTTCGCAGGCGGAGGAGGAGCTGTCGCGGACAGCCGCCTCACAGCGATGGCGGCCGAGCAGGGCCGGCGGCGGTGGCGGCTGCGGCACTGGCCAGGGACAGCAGTGGTGGCGGTAGTGGAGCCGCCCCCGGACCCGGGCATCATGAGCCAAGGCCCCCCCCCAGGGGAGAGCGGCGAGCCCGAAGCAAAGGTCCTCCACACCAAGCGGCTTTACCGGTGAGAGGGGCCGGGGCGTGAGTGCGGCTGCTGAGGGCTGCGGGGGGCCGTGAGGGGCGGGGCCTCCCGGCGGGCGGGGCTCGGGGGCCGGCCGGGGTGCGGGTGAGGGAGGAGGGTGCAAGTTCGGAGCAGGGCGCCGTCCTCGGGATGCAGCTGAAAGGAGGGTTGGGTGGGTGGAGGTTTGGGGAGAAGCACATGGGGGACTCTTCTCCGCGGCGAGCTTGGCCAGCGGGAGGCTTTGCGGGGTCGGGGTAATGGTGTGGGGTTGGGGCCAGAAAGATTGGGTGGGTGAGGGTGGGGTCACAGATGAAGATATACCGGAAGGGAGCGGTGCTTAGAACTCCGTAGGACTCACGGGGAGAGTCCTGGACTGAAGTCCAGAGAGCCGGGTTTGGGTCCTTGCTTTGCCACTCTTTCACTGGATGACCTTGGGCCTCATTTTCCTTATCCTTAAAAGGAGAGATTCGGATTGAATGTGCTCTGATGTTCCATATGGCTCTAATTTGGGGGAGTCTGAATGAGAAGAAAGGAGCTACAAGACTAGTGTTGGCCTGCAAGGGCCATGCGGGATTTTGAGTCCAGAGTGAGCCATTCGGGGCACCTGGGGACTCCTGAGTCCTGCCTTCCTCCCAGCCTCATGACTTCGGTCTCTTGCCAGGCAACTACCATTCCTGGTTTCTGATTTCTGTAGTACCACCCACACTCCTCAAGTCACATCTGCAGTCCTTCAGCCCTCTGTTGGGAACAGGCCAGTAGGAGCTCCTCCTACCCTGGGTGGAGGTGGTTTGTATAGGTCAGCTAGAACATGGGCTCCAAAACGGGATCAAAATACAGTGAAACAGAGATTTAAATTGAATTTTCTGACTTCTGGTAGGGAGAAGAGTTTGGGGTTTTCTTTTTTTTTTTTTTT